TCTCAAAGTAGTTTTGATTTGCATTTCTCTAATGATTAAGGATGGTGAGCATTTTTTCATATATCTATAGGCCGCACGCCTATCTTCTTTGGTGAAATTTCTTTTCAAGTCCTTTGCCCACCTTGCAATGGGGGATTGATTAATAACTGAAAACTTTACTAATTTTTGCTCCTGCTTCCAACTGAGTACCAACTAGAGACAGCCAAAAAAGACCCTACCCAGTTGCATCAGATGCCCACTTCTAGTTAGCCTGCTGATAAACTGCTCCATGTCAACAGCCTCCAGTCAGGGCATGCTGAAACCTTCCCTGTCATCTCCCCTGCCTGCCAAAATGCAGGTGACAGTGACAGACTCCTTTGCTCTAGCAAGTTCTGAATACATAGCCTTGGGTTTTATCGTGTGGTTGGTCTTGGCTTATTTCCATAGTTAGAAGCAACTAAGACATGGCATCTAGAATGTTGCTACATTTAGGAGGGTGAACTTTAGGTTTTGGTGACAATGATGTTGAAGAAAAGAAGGTGGGGTGAAGAACCGGGAGCAGAGTATCTTGCTGGGGATGGGGATCATTGGTGGCTTGTTGGCATCATAAAGAAAGATGAGGAAGAGTAGTGGTTGTGACAGTGGGGCTGAGTGTGGGGAACAGAGGGTCTGGCAGGGGGCCAGACTTTCCCAGGGGACAGAGATGCAAGATGGCTCCTGAGGATTAGTAGTAATGGAGGTAACAAGACAGTGTGGCCTGGGCTTATTCACCCATCTGTGTTGTCACCAGGCTGTTGTTTGTGGTGACCCTTGATGGAGCCTGGAGACTTTCAATGAGGCTGAGGAATTAGCTCCAGGGCAAATGGGGCCACTTGGAAGAGATGCTGGCTCTGGGTGGGTGGGTGGGTGTCTTGAGGTGTCTGACACCTGTGTGTGCTCTGGGTAGCTTAGGTTGAAGCCAGGAACAGGGCTGGGTGGGGGGGTCTCCAAAGCAGGAGTGGGTGTTGCCCCTGGCAGTGGGAGCCATTCACAGTCTGGAGCAGGTTGGAGTCCTGGTTGTATTTGCCAAGCACTCTCTGGATGTCATGTTCAAGGTGACATACTGGAGTCCACAGAAATGCCCATAGTGTGGACCTGGGGGGAGAGTGCAGCAGTGTGACTGAGGGGGCAATGATGAGATCCAGAGTAGGTGAGGATGGTGTGGTTCAGTGAGCGAAATGCATATGGGAGTGAGTGCAAGCCACTGATCTATGCCATGGGCCTGGAATTGAGGGAGAAGACTGAGCCCACATTTATATCTGAGAAGTGTGATGTTGGTGACACCAGGGGAAGGGCCAAGAGGGAGGGAGACCCAGCACTCCAAGGTATCCCACTGCCCATGGCTGCAGGCTGATGCAGTGGCCTGTGAGGCAGGAAAAACAACAACAAGCACTGTGGGAGCAGGGGTGCCTGAGAACTGGGGAGGTGGGGAGAAGGAGTAGGGTGTGAATTGAGAGTCCTGAGGAGAGAGGCTGATCATGGAATGAACTGTCCCCATCATGGCAGGGCTGTGTGACTTTTGAGGACGTGACCATTTACTTCTCCCAGGAGGAGTGGGGGCTCCTTGATGAGGCTCAGAGACTCCTGTACTGTGATGTGATGCTGGAGAACTTCGCCCTGATAGCCTCGCTGGGTAAGGCTGTCACACCCACCCTGAGCTTCTGAGCTCATCTCTGCCATCCCCATTTGGTTTTTCCTTCCTGCTGCTAGACCATGGGTACTGCTTCCTTTTCCCCTTTCTTGGAATATGTGTTGTGGGTACCAGGGTGAACTGTGTAGAGTGGCTCCTCCTCTCCCTCAGCAGCTTCCACTGCCAGAGCCTTGCAGGGATGGTCCAGACACCAGGAGTTCTATAGGCAGCCCCATGGAGCCCATGTGGCTTAGCCACTCCCCAGCTGGGTGTTGTCCAGATTGCTAATGGTTCTGTGGTTCTATTCTGCTCTCTGTCTTCTGCTAACATTTCCTAACCCTGACTCTTCCAGGAATTCCAGGCACTGTGTAGTTGCTACTTGTTGTGACCCCTGGATGTTCCTGCCCAACATCCCTTGTACATTCTGTTTGTAATGTTTAATTTTCTTTCTTGGGGTCTGTAGTGAGGCAGGGTACCTGGGCAGATGCGGGCTGCTGACTTGCCCATCTTTCCTTTAGGACTCACATCTTTTAGGTCCCATGTGGTTGCCCAACTGGAGATGGGGAAGGAGCCCTGGGTTCCTGATTGTGTGGATATGACTTCAGCCATGACAAGAGGGGCTTGTGGCAGGTCTGGTTCTGGTAAGTGGGACTAGAAAGGGAAGATGTGATGTCACCACTGTGTTCAAATCATACCCATATCTTTTCTCCTGTTCATCGTTGTTGGGTGCCATACTTTGTCTCTACCTTTCCTTTCCCATTCTTGACACATTGCCTATTTGTCATTACTACCTTTGGTCCCTGGCTGTGCCCCACCTTTCCGGCCTCTATGTTTTACTCTTTTCAGAGCTTCCTCTGTGGCACTGTCCATCGGATTACACTTAACATTATGAGGTGCCCACATTGTTCCATAGTCCTTGAACACCGTACTTGGGTGCAAGCAGATTTTCCTGGGCCTAGACATGCTGACTGCATAGTCCTCACCATTTACCACCTGCCAAGGCCCTGCCAAAAGGCTTTTATAGAGAAGTGAGTTGGAGGCCCTTTCTCTCCACCCAATACTGTACTGTACCCCATCCCTGTGTCCTGGGTCCTGATAAGGCCTCTGCAGAGCAGACTATTTCTTACCCTGACCTGAAGCTTCTCATCTTGCCAGCAATCCCATGGACTCATTCCTGGGTCAGACAGGTATAGATGATGGGGCTATTTCCTTCTATCAGAGTTTATATGAACCAGCATTTCTCTGCTTTCAGATTTTTGTCATGGAACAGAAGTTAAGGAGTTACCTTCCAAGTGCAGTGTTTCTATAGAAGAAGTGTCACCAGATGGGAATCTGGAGGAAGTTCTGTCTACCCAGAAGACCTACCCCTGTGGCATGCATGGTGTACACTTGAAAGACATTTTGCACCTCCCTGAACACCAGGCTGTACATCCCAGGCAGAAACCCTACACAAGTGAGGCATATAGGAACAGATCTGAGCTCAAGGCAAACCTTCCCCAGCAGCCCATGCAGCAGAATGTAGACAAGTCCATTGGAAGGGAGGAGGACAGGGCCTTGCCTGGGAAGACCTGCCAAGAACATCTATCAGAGAAGCCTGTTGCATGCAGGGAGGGCAGGGAGGACTTTATGGCCACATCAGGCTTACACCAGCATCAGATCACTCCCAGCATGGAGGACCAATGTAAAAGCACTGCAGGGGTGGATTTTCACACTGTTCAAACACAGAACAAGTGCAATGAATTTGGGAGTGCTTTCAGAGACAAATCCACACTTGTTCAGCACCAGAGGATTCTCACCAGAGAAAGGCCCTATGAATGTAGCAAATGTGGGATATTCTTTAGCTATGCTGCTGGTCTCACTCAACACCAGCGAGTTCACAATAGAGGAAAACCTTATGAGTGCTCTGAGTGTGGGAAATTCTTCAGCCAACATTCCAGTCTCATTAAACATCAGAGAGTTCACACTGGTGAAAGCCCTCATGTATGCAGTGACTGCGGAAAATTTTTCAGTCGGAGCTCCAACCTTATTCAGCATAAGAGAGTTCACACTGGTGAAAAGCCATATGAGTGCAGTGAATGTGGGAAATTTTTCAGCCAGCGTTCTAACCTCATTCATCACAAGAGGGTTCACACTGGCAGAAGTGCCCATGAGTGTAGTGACTGTGGGAAATCCTTCAACTGCAACTCCAGCCTAATTAAACATTGGAGAGTTCACACTGGAGAAAGACCCTATAAGTGTGTTGAGTGTGGGAAATTCTTTAGCCACATTGCCAGTCTCGTTCAACATCATGTAGTTCATACTGGTGAACGGCCTTATGGGTGCAGCGAATGTGGGAAAGCCTTTAGCCGAAGCTCCGATCTCATGAAACATCAGAGAGTTCACACTGGTGAACGGCCTTATGAATGCTATGAGTGTGGGAAATTGTTCAGCCAAAGCTCCAGCCTTAACAGCCATCGGAGGCTTCACACTGGTGAACGGCCTTATCAATGCAGTGACTGTGGGAAATTCTTTAATCAAAGCTCCAGCCTCAATAACCATCGGAGACTTCATACTGGTGAACGGCCTTACGAGTGCAGTGACTGTGGAAAAACTTTCAGACAGAGGTCCAATCTGAGGCAGCACCAGAAAGTTCACAAACCAGAGAGGCCTTATAAATGCAGTGAATGTGGGAAAGCCTTCAGCCAAAGGCCTACCCTCATTCGGCATCAGAAAATTCACACTAGAGAAAGGGGTATAAATAATATGCTCCCCCCTTGTTCAACAGGAAGGCAAACAACAGAGATAAGCTCTGAGAGCAAACTTTGTAAGGAAGCTGTCAGCCAGAAGTTGAACTGTGTTCATCCAAGTATCCACACTGGCGAAATTCCCTATGAATGTTAGATACATTGGAAGATCTCTGGGGCTAAGTTATGTTTTCTTATCATGTATTGTATCAGAGTTTTGTCACTGTTAGAGTTTGTGACAGAAACCATCTCAGCTTTACACACTGCAGAGAGTGTGTTGGCCACTCCAATGTGCTCAAGAAGGTGGGCCTCCTCTCTTTTTCCTTAAGGGAACTGGATGTGATCTGAGGCCATGAGATTTTATTCCCTCCTTGTGTGGCCGGTTTTATGCTGTTGTGACCCATCTTTGGCTCTGAAAACCTGAGTGGAGTTCTTGCTGGTGGCTTACAGAGAAGATTTCTCTTTGTCTGGGATGTTGTTAGTCCCATGTTATGCTTATTGTGGATTTATCCAGCCTCCACATTACCTGACCTGACAACTATCTACCATATTTTGGTAGTGATTGATAACTTAGTGGTTCATGTAATAATAAGGGCCTTATGAGAAAGCCCCCTTTAATCTTCCACATTCTGATCACTGTATGGAGTGGGTTGAGAACAGAATTAAGGTTTGTCATACTAAAGGGGTCTCTACAGTTTTTGTCTCAGAGGGGACAGCAGAATGGCAGGAAACAACTCTCAGTCCACACTTGGTCTCCTTTGCAATGCTGCCCAAGGCCTCCAAAACTGTAGGGCTTTGTGGGCCTAATATTGTGGTCCAAGTGGCATGAATTTCTGTGTTACCCTGATGAAAGAGGCAGTTGTGGCAACCTCCACTGCCTCTGAGAGCAACATGAATTGGGTCTGTTATTCAGGAGGTGCCCCATATTCTCTTAACACTGTTAAGCAGATGCTAGCACCTGCCAAGGAGCCATCCGCCCTAAAGTTCACCATTAAATAGGTGCCTGTAATTCAGGACATACTGGGCCCAGGTGGGACCATAATTTGTACAGAAACACTGGGTGTAATAGGGAGTAGATGAGACAGCAAACCAGAAGGAATGGACTTCCTTCTAGTCCATTCCTCTATGGATTATCTCTACCTTTTGATTATTGCAAATAATTAGGTATACAAAAGTCTCTTCCAGACCCTACTTTAAATTCTTTTGGGTATATAAATTGACAGGACAGGTTCTGTCCTATGGCTAAGATTACTGGCAGAGCAAATAATCAAGAGATTTTGTGGATTGCTGTAAGCTTTCTGCACTCTACATCTCAAGGCCAGTGTTGTGCTAGCAGGAAAATAGGGACCAAGAGAAAGTAGATCCTGTACTCCAGGGATGTAGTATCTGTGACAGCCAGTCATTCTTTGCTGCCAAGGCACAGAGAAATGGCAACATGAGGTTGCCATATTGTCTGATTTTCTAAAATGAGTGTAAGATCAGATTTGTATGAACAACAGTTTCTTTTAATGCTTTGTTGAGATGTAATTGCCATGCAATAATTGACTGTACATATTTGATGCACACAATTTGATAAGTTTTAAAATATGTGTGCACTCAGGGAACCAACACTATAATGATGATAATGAACATATCCATCATCCACCAAGCTACCTTGTGCCTCTTTATAATCCCTCCTTGTCTTCCCCAGGAAATAATTTATTTACTTTTTTTCACTATGGATTTGTTAACCTTTTCTAGAATTTTATACAAGTGGAATCATAAAGTATTTATGCTCCTTTTTTGGTCTGGTTTCTTTAATACAGCATAATAATCCTGTGAATCATCTGCCCTCTGTGTATATATAATTTGTTCCTTTTGCTGCTCAGTCGTGCTGTATTGAATGAAAACATCACAATTTTTTATGGTTTACATGTATTAATTTTTTAAAACTTCTGATAAAATACACATAACATAAAATTTACCATTTTAGCCATTTGTAAGTGACCAGTTGAGTGGTATTAAGTATATTTGTGTTGTTGTACAGCTGTCACCACCTTTTATCTCCAGAACTCTTTTTGCCTTTAGAACTGAAAATCTATTCTTGTTAATAAATTTGGCTCAGTGCCCATAGCTCAGAGGTTAGGGTGTCAGTTACATACCCTGAGACTGCAGGTTTGAACCCAGCCCAGACCTGCCAAACAACAATCACAACTACAACAAGAAATAGTCCCAGCTACTTGGGAGGCTGAGGCAAGAGAATCACTTAAGCCCAAGTGTTTGAGGTTGCTGTGAGCTGTGATGCCACAGCACTCTACCACGTGTGACATAGTGAGACTCTGTCACAAAATAAATGAATAAATAAATAAACAAACAATAACTTCCCATTCTCCCCTCCCCACAGCCCTTGGAAACCCCACCATTCTGCTTTCTGTCTGTGCAAATTGATTACTCTAGGTACCTTATATAAGTCTTAAGTCCTGAGTGTTTGTCTTTTTGTGGCAGGCGTAATGTCCTCAGGGTTCATCAGTATTCTATCATGCATCAGAATTTCCTTTCTAGGGCCCATATAGAATTCTGTTGTATATATCACACTGTGCTTTCCCATTCCGTTGAGGGGCACTTACCTGGATTGCCTCTACCTTTTGATTATTGCAAATAATGTTGCACTGAACACGGGTGTACAGAAGTCTCTTCCAGACCCTACTTTAAATTCTTTTGGGTATATATCCAAAAGCAGAGTTACTCAATGATATAGTAATTAATTGAATGTTTAGGTTTTTTTGAGGAGCTGCCACACTTTTCCACAACAGCTGCACCATTTTACATTCCCACTAATAATATTGAAGGTTTGCAGTTTCTCCACATCCTCCCAATACTTGTTGTTTTTTTTTGTTGGTGGTGGTGGTGGTAGCCACTCTAATGGACATGATGTGGTATCTCACTGTGGTTTTGATAGGCATCTCCCGAGCGATTTATGATGCTGAGCATTATCTCAGGGCACTGGTTGGGCATTTGTGTGTCATCTTTGGAGAAAACTCTATTCAAGTATTTCGCCCATTTTTGAATTGGGTTGTTTTGTTCTTGTGTTTTGGGAGTTCTCCATATATTCTGGGTTACTAATCCCTTGGTGTATATTTTCTCCCATTCTGTAGATTGCCATTTCACTCTGTTCATGGTGTCCTTTGATGTAGAGAGTTTTAAATTTTCATGAGGTCCAATTTGTTGATTTCTTTTTCTTTTTGGCAGTTTTTGGGCCAGGGCTGGGTTTGAATCTGCCACCTCCAGTATATGAGGCTGGCACCCTACTCCTTTGAGCCACAGGTGCTGCCCCAATTTGTTGATTTTTTTTCTCATTACCTACGCCTTTAGTGTCATATCTAAGGAATCATGGCCACTTATGTTTTCTTCTAAGAGTTTTACAGTTTCAGCTTTTCTATTTAGGTCTTTGAGCCATTTTGAGTTAATTTTTGTATATGGTGTTAGTTAAGGGTCCAACTTCATTCTTTTGGATGTGGTTATCCAGTTTTCTCAACACCATTTGTTCAAAAGACTGTCCTTTCCCAATTGACTGGTCTAGGCACTCTTGTGAAAAACCATTTGATCATAAATGTGAGGATTTATTTCTATTCTATTAATGTATATATGTCTTTATGCCAGTATCAAACTGGTTTTGATTACTGTGGCTTTATTGCAAGTTTTTAAATTGTGGTATATGAGACCTCCAACTTTGTTCCTTTTTGGTATTCCTTTGGTTCTTTAGGATCCCTATGATTCCATATGAATTTTAGGATGATTTTTATATTTCTATAAAAAATGCCATTGGGGGTTTAATAGAGATTTCATTAACTCTGTAGATCACTTTGGTAGTATTATCTTCATAGTATTAAATTGTCCAATCTGTGAATATGCAATATCTTTCCATTTATTTATGTCCTCTTTATTTTATTTTGGCTATGTTTCGCAGGTCTCATTGTACAAGTTTTTCACCTTTGTTAATTCCAAAGTATTTTATTCTTTAATTATTAAGTATTTTATTCTTTTTGATATGATTGTAAATAGTTTTCAGAACTTCCTTTTTAGGTTGTTCATTGTTATTGTATAGAAATGTTACTCATATTTCTGTGTTGATTTTGTATCCTGCTAGTTTGCTGAATGTATTTATTAGTTCTAATGGTGTGTGTGTGTGTAGCATTCAGAGTTTTCTACATATAAAATAATATCACCTGTGAACAGACATCATTTTACTTCTTCCTTTGCAATTTGGATGTCTATTGTCTCTTTTTCTTTCCTGATTGCTCTGGCTAGAATTCCAGTACCATGTTGAATAGGGTGCATCCATGCTTTATTCCTGATTGCAGAACTTTCAGTCTTTCACCATTGAGTTTGATGTTAGCTTTGAGTTTCTCATCTATGGCTTTTTTATTATGTTGAGATCATTTCTTTAATTTCTAGTTTGTTGTGTGTTTTTTATCATGAACAGTATTAAATTTTGCCAAATGTTTTTTCTGCATCAAATAATTATGCCTTTTTTCCTTTATTATGTTAGTGTGTTGTAGTACATTGATTAATTTTTATATGTTGAACCATCTTTGTATTCCAGGAATAAATCTGAGTTGGACGTGGCATATAACTCTATTAATATGCTGCTAAATTTGGCTTGCTAGTACCTCAATCCTTGATTGAGGATTTATAAGGTTATTGTGTTCATAAGGATATTGGTCTGTAGTTTACTTGTAATGTTTTTGTTTGGCTCTGGTGTCAGGGCAATGCTGGTCTTATAGAATGAATGGTCCCTCCTCTTCAACTTTGTGGAAAAGTTTGAGAATTAATGTTAGTTCTTTAAATATTTAGTAGAATTCACCAGTGAAGCTGTCAGGTTCAGTACTCCCCCCACACCCCCCTTAGGCTTTTTATTCCTTATGTTCACTACTTACAGGTCTATTCAGATTTTCTGTTTCTAAATGATTTAGTCTTAGTAGATTTTATGTTTCTAGGAATTTGTCCATTTCTTCTGAGCCATCCAATTTGTTGGCATACAGTTGTTCATAGTACTCTCTTATAATGCTTTTTATTTCTATACAATTGGTTGTAATGCTTCTGGTTTTATTTCTAATATTAGTACTGTGAGTCTTTTTTATTTTTAGTCAATTTAGCTAATGTGTAGTCAATTCTGTTAACTGTTTTGAACAACCAATTTTTGGTTTTGTTGATTTGCTCTGTTATTTTTATGGTATGTACTTCAGTTCTCTCTGCTCTACTCTTTATTATTTCCTCCCTTCTGCTAGCTTTGGGTTTAGTTT